ATACATGCATGCATACATACATACGGATCATATGTATACACACCTTCCGCCCGAGTTCGTGACCTCATGGTACAACTCCCCTGCTCATTGTAGTCCGGCGGAAGCCTAGATCCCTCCAAGGCCCGGGCGATAACTCGTGAACATCCTCTCCCGGAAACGCCGGGCCCACAGTACCGCCTCTTGAAAAGTTAGAGCCGGTGGTGGGCCCTTGTCACCTGGCCGGCTTGATGGGATTCAGCATGGAGACTACCAAGTCAGACTCTGTCGGAATCCCTTCGGCTTCAGAGTTGGGGAAAGTACGGGGTTCTTCTCCTCAGGGCTTTCTGGCTGGCACGGCGAGGTGGGAGAGGTTCGGGAGCTGGCCTTTGCAGGGCAAAAAACAGCTCATAGTTATCGTTAACCTGAAGCCCTATGACTTCCAGTTCCCCCGGAAGCATTCTAGTTAGATTCTAGTTGCCCGCGAGGCAGCACCCATCGCTTCCAGTCAAAAAGCAACCGAAGCATTGGCAGCTCCATCGATTTTAACCTTGCTGAACGGACGAGGCACCTTTTGGATCCATGTTGCTCTTCCGCCGGCCCGATCTGATGATCTCCTGCACCGGGGCTGTTGGGTGAAAACTAATTAATGTAGGGGCCTTAATGGTTAGAAGAGGGTTTCGGGGCATATTATGCTCGAATTATAATAAGGAACCCACCAATGAGTATTGGTAATTGCTTAGGCCCCTATAATCGAGACAGTCAGATGGTTTGACGACGAACCCACCATGAGATTTAATGACCTATAACAATCAACCGCAAGAAGAACAGCTGCAAGAGTCCTCGGGTGACAGCAAAGATAACATCGAAGGATAGCTGCAACCCAAGTCCGAAAACCTGAACCCTACAAGCCCCAAGAACCCCCTCCGTAAAGTCTTTGCCAGCCCTGTTAGCATGCAAGATACCCGAGCCGACTGTCCTCCTGCAGTTCAGTGGAAAACTGGGTCGCCCGTGGCCTTGCTTTGCAGCGTGAAGTCTTGTTGATGCTTTTCGGCAAGCAGATTGCCCACTCCTCTTGTGATACTACCATGGTCATGATGGCGACCCTGATAGTTGTTTGTCTTGACAGGTTGTGTTGATGTGCAAGCGCAGCCTTCTGGCCTTCGGCATCTAAGTCTGAACCTGAACAATAGCATGCTGTAACACGATGATGTCCTATAGTATACCATAGAATACCATAACATACTACAGTGTGCCGTAATAGTCTCCTGCTTTGCTCGCGGATACCAGAAGGTCGTGATCGTGAGACTTGTTACGCCAGCCTTTCCGATGCTCGAACCTGTTGACACTCGAAACGTCCAAGACAAGATCATCTGCCGCGAAAAAGCCCGAAGAAGCTGATCAGCAGGTGTTGCAGTCTGTCTGCCGGGAGCGTCCTGCAAAGGCAGAGCTGTGCTAGGCGTGAGAGTGAATCGTGGCAACGGTGCAAACACATTGCGACCGGAATCTGTTTTGAAGTTAAGCAGCGCTGCCATAAACCAGCACAGTTCCAGTTCCTAATTGCACCACGGTATGATGATGATCAGAATGAAGATGAAGATAGCCAGCAAATGATTGTTGTGGTCATGTCGCTGCTGGTGATGATGGGGGTGAGGCCTCAGCCGACCCGGCGGTGATCCGGTGGGAGGCTCGAGAGCCTGCCGACCTCTGAATAGAATTTTCGACTCCCACGGGCCGCAACCCAGGCTCCAAACCCTGGTACCGTGCACACTTGCTGGATCGTCACGGAAAGCTAAAGCCTGCACATGACAAACAGCTCCTGTCGTCCATCTTCCCTTTTGCCCCTGTCTGCTCGACGAAGGCCGCAGTGAGCTCCTCTTGGTCACAAGGGGTCTGCCTGATCATAAAGCAAAGCTTGACATGTACAAGGGTTCCCTCTATGAGCGCTACGAAGGAATGGTAGCGACAGGGCTTAGATGTCAAAGGGCAACGCGGCACCCAAATCCATGTATTCGAAGATTATTCGCAACCCCTCACGCCTAAAGCCTAATAGACTCTTCTTGATGTGTGGCACGATGAACGCATCCGGACGCATACCGTCTCCTGCAGCTCGTCCAGGGTGAAACCCTCGGAATGCCTCAGCTGCGCCATCTTTTCGGCTTCTGGGACTCCTTTCAATAAGGGTCCTCCGAGTCAGGGCCTTGAACAAAGGCGTCGAAGCTTACGTGAGTATCCGCCTTGGTCGTAGAAAGGCCTTGAACAACTCCTTGTCGAGTCAGCACAAGCTTGTTGTCAACAGGTGCTGCAGTTGACATGACTACTTTGGGTTACTTCCATTCAAGACTACGGTGGGGGGGGCTCAATAATCATAATTGGGGTTTTGTATACACGACTACAACAGTATGGATACACATATTTATATATGTATAGACTACATGTGGTTTGGGTCTAGTAAGTCATGCAGACTCAGAGATGCAGTTGCCCTTTTCAGGGCCTCAAAACTGCAGCAGCTAGTCTCACATTTGGGGGCTTTATGCCTTAGTAGGGTTGCTTGATCTCACCCCNNCCCCCCCCCCCCCCCGCAAAAAAAAGAGGCATGTTCTTGCTCCCGATCTGACCTATCTTTCGGTCTTCGACCCCCAAGCATGGCCTGTAGACGTGCATGAGGATCACGGTCTCCTCAAAGTCTAGTGTGCCATTGCCGTCCTTTCTGCAGGCTGTTGCAGTATTTTTTTCAGCCCTTTAGGGTTTAGGCTTTAAAGTTTA